CATTGATGTGCTGTGTGCTGGAGGTAAGCGCAGACTTTGGGAAACAGAAGGGAGATGGTACTGGGAGGGAATTGAGGTGAGTGGATCTGGCAATTTCTTTTCACACTCCAAGTGCCTACATGCCTTTCCTGATGTGAGTCAGTTTTTGGAAATTGCGTTAAAGCATTTGGATAACCGCCCTAACCGGTTTGGCTGGATGGATGGAGCATCAGCCTTCGGACTGAAGGGTCCCAGGTTCGATTCCGGTCAAGGGCATGTACCTGAGTTGCGGGCACATCCCCAGTAGGGGGTGTGCAGGAGGCAGCTGATCGATGTTTCTCTCTCATTGATGTTTCCAACTCTATCCCTCTCCCTTCCTCTCTGTAAAAAATCAATAAAATATATATATTTTTAAAAAGCAGTTGGATAACTTTTCTGCTAATTGTCTGCAAAACCAGACCACAGGCTGTGGAGTGAGGAGTGAGAGTATACCACCAACAGTGAACCTCCACTTTCTAGTTGTGCTCAGAGTGAAGTCACAAAATAACATCCTAGTGACCACAGAGTAGCTTCCGCCCCTGAAGACTGTAAGCCCATGCAAGACATTCTTTTAGAATTTCCTGGAATGGGTGAAACACTAACAAACTGGTGTGAATTCCATTCTTTCATATTGATTCAATAAACAAATAACTCATGTGTCAGGCCTTATGCTAGCATTGGAGATATTTTACCCATATTTCTGCATATATAACCTAATAGGAAGCATCATGTTAGGACTAAGGAATTCATAGTGAACGAGATAGAAATGGTCCCTGCCTTGATTGAGATTAGAGTGCATATGTGAAGGCAGGTAACTAAATAAACAATAGATAATAAAGTGTGGCAAGTGCTTTGATGGAAAACCATAGTATGCTGTGGGAGTGCATAGGTAGGATAGTTTTTAATGCATATGTTAGATTTAATTTATAGTTACAATGCAACCACAGTAAAAATAACCAAAAGATAAGTAAAATGTCTTTAAAAATTCTAGTCTGACTGGCATGGCTCAGTGGTTAAGCATTGACCTATGAACCAGGAGGGCATGGTTCGATTCCTGGTCAAGGCACATGCCTGGGTTGCAAGCTCAATCCCCAGTGTGGGGCCTGCAGGAGGCAGCCGATCAATGATTTTCTCTCATCATTGATGTTTCTATCTCTCCCTTTCCCTTCCTCTCTGAAATCAATAAAAAAAAAATTTTTTTTAAAGATAAGTAAAACAAAAAACAAGCTGAAGAACACTATGTATATTATCTTCATTTTGAATGTTAAAGGTACCATAGAGGCTTTATTTCAAGTCCCGCACCAGAGGCAACTTTTTTTGTTTTAATTAAATCGTTATTGTTCAGATTACATTTGTTCCTCTTTTTTTTTCCCCCCATAACTCCCCTCCTCCCAGTTCCCGCCCCACCCTCCGCCCTCACTCCCCACCCACTGTCCTCATCCATAGGTGCACGATTTTTGTCCAGTCTCTTCCCGCATCTCCCATTCCCCTTTCCCCAAGAATAGTCAGTCCATTCCCTTTCTATGTCCCTGATTCATTATAATCACCAGTTCATTCTGTACATCAGATTATTTATTCACTTGATTCTTAGATTCACTTGTTGATAGATGCATGTTTGTTGTTCACAATTTGTATCTTTACCTTTTTCTTCTTCCTCCTCTTAAAGGATACCTTTCAGCATTTCGTATAATACTGGTTTAGTGGTGATGAACTCCTTTAGCTTTTCCTTATCTGTGAAGCTCTTTATCTGACCTTCAATTCTGAATGATAGCTTTGCTGGATAAAGTAATCTTGGTTGTAGGTTCTTGCTATTCATCACTTTGAATATTTCTTGCCACTCCCTTCTGGCCTGCAAAGTTTCTGTTGAGAAATCAGCTGACAGTCGTATGGGTATTCCCTTGTAGGTAATTGAGTCTCTTTCTCTTGCTGCTTTTAAGATTCTCTCTTTGTCTTTTGCTCTTGGCATTTTAATTATGATATGTCTTGGTGTGGTCCTCTTTGGATTCCTTTTGTTTGGGGTTCTCTGCGCTTCTTGGACCTGTAAGTCCATTTCTTTCACCAGGTGGGGGAAGTTTTCTGCCATTATTTCTTCAAATAGGTTTTCAATATCTTGCTGTCTCTCATCTTCTGGCACCCCTATAATTCTGATATTAGTGCGCTTGAAGCTGTCCCAGAGGCTCCTTACACTATCTTCATATTTTCGGATTCTTTTTTCATTTTGCTTTTCCGGTTGGGTGTTTTTTGCTTCTTCGCATTTCAAATCTTTGACTTGATTCTTGCGCTCCTCTGGTCTGCTATTGGGTGTAATTGATGTTTCTATCTCTCCCTTTCCCTTCCTCTCTGAAATCAATAAAAAAAAAATTTTTTTTAAAGATAAGTAAAACAAAAAACAAGCTGAAGAACACTATGTATATTATCTTCATTTTGAATGTTAAAGGTACCATAGAGGCTTTATTTCAAGTCCCGCACCAGAGGCAACTTTTTTTGTTTTAATTAAATCGTTATTGTTCAGATTACATTTGTTCCTCCTTTTTTTCCCCCCCATAACTCCCCTCCTCCCAGTTCCCACCCCTTTGGTTTTTTTCCAATTGACCCCCTTCACCCCACACCGGCCCCTCCTAGGCCTTCATCAGCTACTGTCTGTGTCCATGGGCTATGCATATGTGCATATAAGTTCCTGGTTAATCTCTTTCCCACCCCTGCAGTTCATATACATGGGTCCATAAACTTTTTGCTTTCTCCCCATCTTTTTCTGTTTTCTATTAGATTGATAAAGTTTCTGTATCTCCTATTTTTTCTCTTGGAAGCTCTGGATTCTATGGGTCAACCTTAATTGTGACAAGTATATTCTATCAGTCAGGATTCAGTCAGAGAGTGGAAACACTAATGAGGGCGAATACTGGGGAGCAGACCTTGAGCAATCAGAGTCCCAAAAGCATAAGAGGAACCAAGAGTACAAGTGCTTCTTTGTTCAGAGAATTAACTGTCCCAAATGTCCTCCTTCTTGCAGTGGCCATGCCCACTCTGGCCAATGATCTGTTCCCAGGTGTGACTGACAGACAAGTACCTTCCCGGGTACTTTACTGGGCATGCGTCCGTATATTCTTCTCCCTGTCCAGTCCCTTCCCCCTGCAATCTGTGGGGAACAGATCGGTGGCTCCCTGGGGAATGTAAAGCTTTAGCTTCCTGGTGAAGCTGCCCAAATGACATGCCTGTAATATTTGGCCTTCTTTGCTCCTTTGTTCCTGATATTAATACTAGGTTAATTACAATGGTACCAAAATTAGATATGGTGATAGTTTCACAACTCTTAAAAATCATTGAATTTTATTGTTGCTAAGACAGAGAAGGAAGGCATCCCTTCCTTTCATTCAGCATACCTTTGTTGAGTATCTGTTACCTGCTATGTTCTCTTCTAATCCCTGAGGATATGATGGTTGACCATCCAGACATCTGGCTTACTCCCTTGGGATTTACATTCCATTGGCAATGTGGGGAAAAGTGGAAAATTACCAAATGTCAGGTCATAATGAAGGCAACGGTTTGATTACCACCTCAGACATGGAGTTAGTGTACAAAGTGTGTATGACAACCTGCTGGTTGGTGGGTACTTTCCTGCTACCTGGCCTCACTTTTTTTCTCTTTAGCTCCTCTTGCTTTCTCTTTTCTGCCATATTGCCTACTGTCTTAGCAAGAACCTGGAAAAAGGACCATGAAAATATCTCTGTTTATTTCTAACTTTGCTTGCTGAGTCCACTGTAATTGTTACTGATGCTATGGAGTGGTCCTATCCTCACACTCTTAGTCCTACAGTTAATTCAGACTTTTGAACAAGAGACTATGAAAATGTTGGAAGAAGCCTTTCTTCCATCTAAACCAGAACTACCATGACTTTGCCCTTGTTGTGGGAGACTTTTTCATATATCTTTAAGAAACTTCTTTTCTTTATAATAATCGTTTTGTTTCTCAACTCCCTTGATGTGGCTTTTTCTGTATATCCTTGGTTATAGAACTTCTTTTCAGCTAGACTTCAGGTGATTCTCAGTGATGGTTCTGTAGTTTAGTTGTAATTTTGATGTGGTCGAGGGAGGAGGTGAGCACATTGTTTACCTACTCCGCCATCTTGAGCAGAAGCCAATAAACTCCTTTTCCTTAGAACTGCCTTAGAGTGTGCTCCTAGACTTCATACCAAACTAGGAGAATTTCCAGAAAGGATGGCAGGGTTGGTGAAGAATGAGCAGAGAATTTGCTGCCTTCCTGCTGTGCCTTCTATTGCTGTTTTGTTACAGTTTCCATCTCCACTTCATAAATGTTGACAACCCTGTTCAGGCTTTTCTTTCAGTTATTGTCATAATTAGCTAGTTATTAATAATAATAATATGAAGAGAGCAAAGGGGAGGCCAGACATAATAAGCATGGTCATCTGGGCAGCTTCACCAGGAAACTACAGCTTCAAGCTTCCCAGGGAACCACCTGTCCATACCCTGCAGATCACTGGGGGAAGGAACCCAACAAAGAGGAAGATAAGCACATGTGCAGTGAAGTCTGGGTGTCATAGGGAAGGTCCTTGTTTGCCAGTCTACCCTGGGAAAAAGATAATTGGCTAAGGGGGTGAAGCCACTGCAAGCACATGAAGTCTTGAAGGGTTAATTGGTTAAGCTCCTGGTTATAGTCCCCAAAGAGTTCCTCTCTCTCGTGCTCTTGCTCGCTCTTGAGCTCTCTTGCTGTTTGACCTACACTTGCCCACCATGTGGCCTTAAGCATGCAATGGACTGGAGCTGGGAACACAAGCTCAGCTAGCCAGATGCTGGATTGGACTGTGCTTTAATATGAAGTGGAGACTCTGGGCAGTGGCCTTAATTCTAGCCTGCTGAAGACAAGATTGGACTTTTTCCATGGTGGGAAGGAGGGAAATGGGACATTGGAAATCCAGGGGTTCAATTCCACAGAAATAAAGATCACTCCTCCTCCCTCAAGAGTCTCAGAAAATTCATTTTCTTACAACATCGCAGGAACTCCACTTCCACAGGTTACAGAGGCTGCCACAGAGAGCACCCCACCAATAACACAATGGTTAATGGTTCTACAGTTTGATGAATCACTCTTGCTTCTCTCTGTAGATGCGGTGCAGTATATTCAAGCTGAGAAAAACAACAAGGGTGTGATGGAGGCTGCTACACTTTTTCTCAAGTTCCTATTGGAGCTCCAGGAGGAAGGCTGGTTTCGGGGCTTTTTGGATGCTCTTCACCATGCAGGTTTGTTTATTCTTTTCCCTCACAAATCAAAGTCTATTACTTGACTGTTTCCAAATGCTGTAAAAGTGAAATGCTATTAATCTTGAGGTGTCCACATATAATTAGTCTTTTTTTAAATGTTTTTTATTTATTTTTAGAGAGAGAGGAAGGGAGAAGAGAAGGATAGAGTGATAGAAACATTGATGAACGAGAAACATCATCGATTGACTGCCTTCTGCATGCCCCCTGCTAGGGATTGAGTCCTCAAACCAGGCATGTCCCTTGACCAGGAATCAAACCAGTGACCTTTTGGTCCCTGGGTTGACACTCAACTGCTGAGCCATACCAGCAGGTCTAGTTCATGTCTTTTAATCTGAGGCAATGTGAAGACTATTTTCAGGCAGATAATATAATTGTCTACCTGAAATATCTAAAGGAGTCTACAGAGTATTGTAAGTAATGGTAGAATTTAGCATCTTCATTGGATAGAAGATAGTATACAAAAGTTAGTTGCATTTTCACCCACTGGAAGTAAATAGAAATATCATTTATATTAGTAACAAAAGTTATCATGTATTTAGAAATAAACCCAGCAAAAGGTGGGTAAAGTCTGAATGGAGAACATGATAAAATGTTATTGAAAGATATTAAAGAAGTCCTATTTAAATAGAGATACATACCCATGCGTATGAAGAGGACAACTTGATATCATAAAAATGTCATCTCTCCCTATATTGACCTATATATTCAATACAATTGTAGTAAAAATCTTACATGCTTTTTTATGAGTTTGACAAGCTGATTCTAAAATGTATTTGAAAGAATTATGACCCACGAACAATCAATAACTCTCTAAAGAAGAATTAAATAGTCTGGGGTTTTCCCTTTGAGATATCAAGTTTTATTGTAAAGCTGTAGGCATTGAGACAGTGCGACTCTGTTCCTAGAACCAACCAGCTGACCAATGAAATAGAATAGAGTCTTCAACTAGGCTCATGTATTTATGGAAACCTGTTATATTATAGATCTCTGGGAAAGGAGGATTATTAGGAAAGGAGGGGCTTTTTGATTAATTGCAGTGGGCCATTATAAACAGGATAGTTTAAAGAGGATAAGATTAAAAACCAAAGAAACCTTAACTTTCCTTCCAAGCGGATACAAATAAATTTGTGTTCCTTAATTCATTCCATTCATATATACACACACAATATGAATTCAAAAGAATTAAAGATTTAATTCTAAAAGGTAAAATTTTAACAATTTTATAAGAGAATATAGGATCATATTTTTATGACCTTGGATTATGGCAAGATTTCTGAAACAAGATATTCAAGCATTAACCATAAAAGAAAGATTGAAAAGTTCCATGACATTAATATTAAGAGCATTCGTTTGTCAAAACACACTATAAAGAAAGTGAAAAAAGCAGATTGGGAGAAGATATCCGCAAAATACATTATGACCAAGGAATTAATATATAGAATGTTTTTTAAAAGGCTTTAAAATCAATTAGGAAAAGAAAGAAAACTTCAGCCCTGGCCAGTGTGGCTCAGTTGGTTGTAATGTCCTATGCACTGAAGGGTCGCAGATTCAATTCCTGGTCAGGGCACAAACCCACGGTTTTATCCCCAGTTGGGGTGTGTATGGGAGGCAACCAGTCAATGTTTCTGTCTCACATTGATGTTTCTCTCTTTATCCTCCCTTCCTCTCTCTCTAAAAATAATTATTTATTATAAAAATAATTAATTAATATTTGTTATAAATTAGGAACATAATGAGGTAACATTTTATAACTAGTAGATAGCCAAACTTAATAAGTCCAACAGTGTTAAGGCTTGAAGAGGACATTTAATAACAGGTAATCTTAGCTGTCACCCTACAACCCTGGCCAGTGTGGCTCAGTTGGTTGTGCGTTGTCCCATGCACCAAAAGCTTGCCAGTTTGATTTCTGGTCAAGGCACATGCCTGGGTTGTGGGTTCAGTCCTTGGCGTGCAGGAGGCAGCCAATGGATGTTTCTCACTCTCTGCCTGTCCCTTCCTCTCTCTCTAAAATCAATAAAAACATATTTAATTTAAAAAAATCACCCTACAGAGTGTAACTTGATAAAACTATTTTGAAAAACAGTTTGGCATAGTTCAACTCCCATGTATCCTATTGAACAGTTTTACTCTTAGGTATGTACCCTAACAAAATTCTTACACATATATTCCCAAACTCATACATGAATGTTCATAGTATAATTGTTTGTATTAACAAAAGCAAGCAAGCAAACAAAACTAGAAGCAACCTTGAGAAGAGGAGAATGGATAAATAATTTTTAAAATATTCATATGATGGTTGAATATACTGCAACAAAAAGGTATTGTTACAGAAGACCAAAGAAATACCAAGCTCGCTTCCTAGAGAAAGGGAGGGACCCCGTTTATTAACACTAGTGGACTCCGGGAATAATTTCCAAATCAGAGTGAAGAAACATGCAGAGAGCCTGTCTATATATATCCCGCTGGGGTCTTTGTCTTGCAGATAGGCCCCCTGCCTCCTTCGTGGCCCTGCAGAAAGGCCCCCAGGTATCAGGTCACATCCTGGCACCAGCATAACAACCCTCCCCCACCCAGGGCAGTGCATTGTTCACAGTTTTTATGGCCTGACACGCCTTGCTAGACCAGTTTCCTCCTCAGTATGAGCAAAGCTACAGACAACAACATAGGTGAAGCTTAGAAATGTAATATTAAACTGTTTTAAAAATCATAGAAAATTCCATTTAGTAGAATATAATTATAAAGTTCCAAGCAAGCTAAACAAAACATATTGTTTAGAGAATCAAAGATATGTCATGCAACTACTCAAAAAAATTAAGGGATTGATACATCAAATACAGGGTAGGAGTATATTTGCAAGGAGATAGGAGGGTGGGAGAAACAGAGGCACACACCCGCAAATGGAATATTCTAGTTCTTAAGTTGTGAATGGATTTACATGTGTTCATTTTGTTGTTCTGCTATTTATCTACACTAATAAAAGAGGAACATGCAAATTAACCATTACTCTGCTACCCCCACCAGCCAATCAGGAGCAAGTATGCAAATTAACCCAACTAAGATGGCGGCGGCCATGGAGCTGGAGCGAGCAGGAGGCTTGGGTTGCCCCCGGCGATGGAGGAAGCCAAGCTTCCCGCCTGTCCTGGCCAGCCCTGAGCTCTGCTCAAGGATATAAAGTTTCAGCTGTAGAAGATAAATAAATCCCAGATTCCTGCTTCCAGCCCTCCCTGGCCTCTGCTCAAGGAGGCGCTGAAAAAAAAAAAAAAGAAAAAAAGGAGAGGCTGGGAGCTTGGGTCACTGGGGGGCGTGCCCAGCCTGAAAACGGCCATCAGCCCCTCACCCAAGCTGGCCACACCCCCACGGGGTGAGGGTCCCCGTTGGGGGGCGTGCCCAGCCTGCAAACAGCCATCAGCCCCTCCCCCAGGCTGGCCCAGGCCCCCCAGCAGGCCCCCTCCCCCCTGAAGGGGCTGTGGCCAGCCTGCAAACAGCCATCAGCTCCTCACCCAGGCTGGCCAGGCATCCCAGTGGGGCCCCCCATCCTGAAGGGGGTGTGGCCAGCCTGCAAAAAGCCATCAGCCTCTCACCCAGGCTGGCCAGATACCCCAGCAAGACCCCCACCCTGATCCGGGATACCCTTCAGGGCAAACCAGCCAGCCCCCACCCATGCACCAGGTCTCTATCTATATTAATAAAAGGGTAATATGCTAATTAGACTGGGAGACCTGCCAGGAGACCTTCCAGACATTCTTCTGGACAAAGCCATGGTGGTGGGTCAGGTAGAGGCGGTTAGAGGCCAAGAGAGGAGGGCAGTTGTGGGTGATCAGGCCAGGGTGGGATGGCAGTTGTGGTTGATCAGGCCAAGGTGGGATGGCAGTTGTGATTGATCAGGCTGATAGGGGGCGGGGCCG